GCTCATGGCCACATCCTAGGGATGCTGAATGTTAGTAATCAGGTAGCAAATGGCAAGAGAATTTGAACCAACCCCTGAGATTTGCAGAAGTACCAAATAATGTTTGAAAAAACCCAAGATGAGGAGTGAATACATTAGTCACTATGGAATGCTGAGTATTTAAAAAGGAAGGATAGAAACTGGGTATGGAGAGCAAATGGAAGACCTTCAGTCTTGTACGCATTACATGATCCAGGAAGACTGCATGGCTGGCTGGAAACTTGAACAAGATTGATCCTCTTCAGATGATGATGTACTGCAACACTTAGCTGCAGTTGCTACTTGTTTGTCCTCTTGAGAGCTTTTCTAGACACAATTTAATATGTATTAAGAGCCAGTGGCTTGAGTGTTGGACTGTGACTCAGGAAAGCAGGGTTCAAATCCCTGCTCTGCCATGAAAACCCACTGGGCAAATCACACTCTCTCAGCCTCAGAAGAAGGAAAAGGCAAAAGCCCTTCTGAACAAATTTTACTAAGAAAATCCCATGATAGGTTTACCTTAGGATCACAAAAGTAGGAAACAACTTGAAGGCACACAACAACAAGTGGATATCCAAAAATATGACATATGAATGTGAAGTAGACATTTGCAAGAAAATAAAGGAGCAAATTCCGGCTCAGCCATGAAACCCACTGGCTGACCCTGAGCAAGTCACATCCTCTCAGCTTCAGAGGATGGCAATGGCAACCCCCCTCTGAAGGAACTTGCCCAGAAAACCCTCTGATAGGTTCACCTTAGGGTTGCCATAAGCTGGAAATGACTTGAAAGCACACAACAACAACAACAACAACGGCAATTTATCAGGGACCTGTGATTAGCTATGCCTTCCTATAAAAAACTCTGGTGAACTTAGTACATTGTGTGAAACTGTGTGGGCTTTAAGGCTGCAGTCTAGTGCATGCAGACTTGGGAATAAGCTTGGCTAAACTCAAAGGGTATTTATTGTGGATAAAAATACATGGCATTGTGGTGCGTATGTGATTAAAGTAGCTATTTATGTAAGAAATGTTACAATCTGTTGAGGTTAATGGAATGACTGAATAAAAATATCCAGAATTTTTACTAGAAAATCACCATCCTCCATAAGAACCCCCTCCCAAAGAATATTCTTCACAGTGCTCCTTTTCTTTGGTCTCGTTTTTATATCCCTTTAATTGCCAGCTGGATATAACTGTTTAAAGATGAGCGGGACATTTGTGGCCCTCCAGATATTGTTAAGTTATAGTTCCCATCAGATATTGCTAACATAGCCATTACTAAGAATGATGGGAGCTACACTCCTGCAAAATCTGGAGGGCTGCCATTTTCTGAGTGTGAATTCTTATGTAGTAAAATGGTGTCATCATAATCATCATCCATTCACAAGAGGCATGTATCATCAACAAGAACCCCAAAGTTTATAGAAGTATAAGGGGAGGTAAAGAAAGAGAGACTAAAAGGAGGTCCAAGTATGCTTTTAGAAATGGAATTATCATTGATGAATGGGGAAGGCAAATGAATTGGAGTGTCCTGGAAAAGGGCTTTGAACTCTCTACTGCAACATTTTGTTGCAAAGTGTAATTGTTGGTAACAGTTTTCATTTTGCTTCAGACATGGTTATATCTTTTGAATGTCGGGAGATTCTGGGCCTTTGCAGACTGCTAGAAATAGTGCAAATTGAGTCCACTTTTAGGGTTAGGGTTAGTGCTAGGGAATCATGGGAATTTTTTTTTTCTGGGACATTGAGCCTTCTCTTGTCAGAGAGCTCTGGTGCCACAATAAAATACAGTTCCCATGATTCCCTAGCACTGAGTCAGGGAAGTTAAAGTGGACTCAATTTGCACTCAATTTGCTTTTGGCCCCGTGGGATAAGGTCCTATTTCTGGCAGTCTGCAAAGGCCCTCAGTCCCTGTTCATTGCAGTAACTGCTATTGAGAAAATAGTCCTGATGAGTGGGCGGGAGCTAAACGTTGTTGGTGTTGTGTGCCTTCAAATTGTTTCCAATTTATGGCAACCCTATCATGGGGTTTTCTTGGCATCAGAGGAGGTTTGCCTTTGCCATCCTCTGAGAATGAGAATGTGACTTGTCCAAGGTTGCCCAGTGGGATTATATGGCTGGACTGGGATTCAAACCAGAGTCCAACACTCAGATCATCACACCATGTAGGCTTCCAGGAGCTTAACTAGTGACTAGATAAAATTAAGCATATATTTTATATATTATTTCCCTGAAAGCTTCTTTGTTCCCTTAATATTCCATTTTGCAACAGCAGTTGAAAATACTCCCAGTGAAACACTGACAGTCTGCATGGTCAGCAACTCACGGTAAGACATTTTAGCACATGCTTAACCTTAAACTCATAAACATTGCCAATGAAAAGAAAAAGAAGAAACCCCTACATCTTCAAAGTTAATTATGTGATTTATTGGTTATATAGTCCTCCTTGCTTATTCCTGCTTAAAGGATTCACAATTCACTCCATCTTTTTGCTCTGATTGCTTAATATTGGTTTAATAAGCTCATTTTTATTATCTCTGTCTCTCTTTCTCACTCACCCTGCCCCCCCCAACTTTTGCACAGCTGTAAGCTGGAATCAAAAATGAAATCAGAAGCAATATATATAGCCAATATTGATGCTACACTGGACAAAATCCAATATTAGTCTCAGCGAGAACACACTTACTAAATGGGGTGTTAAGGCCTAAGCAGACTGCCAGAAATAGTGCACATTAAATTGAGGCACTGCCCTGGCTCAGTGCTTGGGAATCATGGGAATTGTATTTTTTTCTGAGACATTGAGCCTTCTCTGTCAGAGAGCTCTGGTGCCACAATAAATTACAGTTCCCAGGATTCCTTAGCACTGAGCCAGGGCAGTGCCTCAATTTAATGTGCACTATTTCTGGCAGTCTGCTTCTCATTTCAAAGGGTCTAACTGTAGTCGTAACAAAAACTGGAATTAGCTTATTGACCTTGTAGATCTATTTAATTCACAAACAAATGCAGGAAAAGTGTCCTGTTAAAAGTTACCATTTGATTAAATGTGAGCCAAGAAATAGTTATAGCCCTATCTCCACCAGTTCCTGCTCCATGTACCTCCCATCAGCCCCCCATTATCACTCCATCAAATGTCATCTCGACAGCCATTAAATTTGGCATCAGAAATTATATATATTTTAAATGGAAGGGAAAAACACTTTCCCCAGACACACTACAGGCACTAATGCCACTTCTAGATCTGCCCTAATAGACAAGCTAGGAAGCCATCCTTCTCAGACACGTGCCATTAATGTGTAGGAGAACATGATAGTTACCAGCTGAACATTACCTTTCCCACCATTCATTTTTGAGAAAGTGGCCTCTATATTCACCCCCAACTCCATTCTTAATTTTTATACTGCAGCTTTGATTACTAGTAGGACACAATAACTGGCCTTTCTAATGCTTGCAATAATAATAGCTGAAGTAAGGTTATATTAAAAAGCTGGAGAAATAATTAAGCAGTATTATTGTAGTTCTCCAGCCTGTACTTTTTCAGAAAAACATACAAGAACATCAAGATAATGAAAAATGATTAAATTGCCCCAAAACCATATTGTCAAAGTGTAAAATTTCCCAAGATGTACTGACTTTTAAAAACTTATTTCCTTCAACACTTGCAAGATAATCATGATTACCAGATGTTTCAGATTAAATCCCATAGAAGAAAAATCTCCTAAAGCCATGCCTATACAATAGTGGGAACAAGCAGGGAAAGTTACACTCTTTAGAGTTGCTATTTATATATTCTACTTTTGTTTTTCACTTCCTAGACATTTATGGGCAATGTTGCCACTAAAATCAATAGCCAAACATCCACAAAACACAGGAATCTGCCCTACACATTATTTTTATCGCTTATAGAGTCTACAGTAAAGTCAAGCAGATCCGCTGTCCCTCCCCCATTCCTGGCACCACTTGACATGAAAATATCCATTATACTTTAAAATGTGTAGGAATAAGAAAAGCATTTTCTCAGTTTGTGAAATCAATATGCAAACATCCTCCAGGTTTATATAAATAGCTAAGGAACAGAGAAAGGCACAGAGTACTCTCAGAAGAAATGTATGCTTCTGAAGTTTCAAGTTCATTCTCAGTATCTTACACTCTTTTTGTGCGGCTGTACTGCACTAAGTACTCTTATACCATAATAATCTGGGTGTTTTTTAAACAAGAAATTCCTCTAATATTGTCTTTGATAGTCAGGAATGACAGCAGCAGCCATTATACATTGGAAGTGTGTGTTGCTAGAGAAGTATACTTTATATTGTTAGGCGCTTACACAAACTCCTTAAAAACCTTAACAAAACAATCCTGTGTATATATGCTCATAAATCAGTACCTATGGGCTTATTCCCAAGAAAGTGATCATAAGATTACAACCTGAAGTATAAATGACAAAATTGATGTGTTAAGGAAAATAGGAACAATTGTGACAAATACATAATATTTTGTCAATATGTCATCTATAAATTTATGTGAAAATAAATGTTTGAACAACTGATCCCAATCACACCCACTCTAGACTTTCAGTATAGAACCTATTACTCAAAAAAGATGGTTGGGACAGGATTTTAAGGCTTTCCAAGTTCCTTCTATCCCATTATCCACATACAGGTTTATTTTATTTCAGTACCTAAATCGTAAGCATGGCTCACACCCTATTTTTTCTTCAGACCTTGTGCAAGCTGTTGCCATTTTTTAAAAAGACAATACCTAATTCCCATTTATGGGAGAAAAGCAGGGTATAAAGCATAAATTAGAAGTTTAAAATTAGAACTTAACTATATGTTTTCACAGCAGAAATATCACGCAGAAACTATTCAAGCAAATAAATGCCAAAAATAGGGCCATGTGAATCTTAGTCATGCTTACTTATAGTCATCAACAAGTCCCACTGAGTTCAATAAAATTTAATCCTAGATATATAAATATATAAGAGCCAGCCTGGTGTAGTGGTTTAAGCATTAGACTACAGCTCTAGACATCAGGGTTCGATTTCCTGCTGGGCCATGGAAACTCACTGGGTGACCATGGGTGAGTCACACATTCTCAGCCCCAGAAAACTTCTCCTTAGGTCAGAAACTGCTTGAAGGCTCACAACAACAAACAAACAAACAAACAAATATACAGTAGGATAGGTTATATAGGGTTGTAGCTGTAAACACCCAAGCTGTTATAACATCAGTGATGCATTCAGTAAAATAAATATGGAGATTGAGTCTCCGTATCCAGAATTCCAAAATCCAAAGTATTCCAAAATCCAATATTGTTGACATGGGTAGCTGAGACACCTTTGCTTTCTGATGGTTCAGTGTACATAAACTTTGTTTCATGCACAAAATTATTAAAAATATTCTTTATAAAACAATCTTCAGGCTATGTGTATAAGGTGTATCCGAATGAATATATAAATGAATTTCATGTTAGACTTGGGTCCTATCTCCAAGACATCTCATTATTCGTATGCAAATATTCCAAAATCCAAAAACCTTTGAAACCCAAAACACTTCTTGTCCCATGCATTTCAGATAAGTGAAGCTGTAAATAACAATAAATGTATGTTTGCAAAGGGATTTTTTAGCATCTTGGAGTCTAACTGAAAGAAAGAAGCTGGGAGCATGAGCTTTCATAATAGACTTGAGTCTAGGCTCAGCTTCTTAGTCTCAAAGGTAATGCAAGATCCCTTTATATACTGATTTTCTAAGCTACTACTAGTTATGCCTTTGAATTCTACCACCACAGTAAATGTCTACAGCAGGAAAAAAAAAACAAAATTGTTGTTGTTGCTGTTGTTACTACTGCTACTAATTTTGCATTGTGAAGAAACGCAACTAATGCTAACATGCCAATTTTATGTCTTCTTCTGGCTCATGCACAGAGGCACTTTTGCTTGACACATTTTCTTCTAAGTTGCAACCCCAGTGGTTCGCATTATGAAAACGTGGAAGTGGAGCATGCATCTGATAAGAGCCTTGACCTTTTAGTCTAATCGGCCAATTCAACTGGGCCGGGAGGGAAGGAGACCTGAGAGAGATGAACCCTGAAAACAACTTACTGCTTTTGGAAATGATGAGACTCCCCCTCACTCCCTTCCCTCAGAAATCACTTTCATCAGCATCACTTAGGCTGCATCCTTACTGCAGAAATAATCTGGTTTGGCACCCACTTTAATTGCCATGGCTCCATGCTATGGAATTTTGGGAATTGTAGTTTGTTGTGGCACCCCTGGTTTCTGTTAAAATTTCTGTTAACCTCTGGTGCCACAACAAACTGCAGGCAATTAAAGTGGTGCCCAATTGGATTATTTTTGCAATGCAGATGCAGCCATAATCTCTCTACCAAAGTGGTGAAAGCAGAGATGCATTGATCCTAAGGGCTGGTCTTCTCCTCCCCTGTTCCCACTCTTACCATGTTACTGATAGGAAATTGGAGAACTCAGGTCCTTTGAGTCTAACTCAACAAAGGACCTTATCCCACGCTGCTCTCAAAAGTGGCAAGAAAGCGATATGAGCATCATTGCAGTACTATAGCGCTAGTATAAATATGGCGCTAGCGCTATAATAGCGCTATGGATAAGCTAGCGCTATTGCAATGCCCGCTGAAACCGACATTCAAAAGAACCCGAATGATGCTGCATTCCGAGCGGTTTCTTGTTGGATTCTGAGCGACGTCATGTAATCACCCGGAAAACTATAGCGCTATAGCGCCTGATTCTTAGCGGATTCTGAGCGACGTCGTGTGATCACCCGGAAAACTATAGCGCTATAGCGCCTGATTCTTAGCCGATTCTGAGCAACGTCGTGTGATCACCCGGGAATGTATAGCGCTATAGCGCCTGATTCTTAGTGGATTCTTGCTGCTTTTGGCCCCGTGGGATAAGGTCCAAAGAGACTTTGCATGTGTGTCTCTGGGTCTCAAGCTGCCATCCCTACAGGTGACAGGCAGGCATCATTTCTATCTGAACAACTCTGCTTGGTGTAGCCATGGAGGGCAAAATGAGGGCACTGACCCCCTGCTTCCAGCGATAACTTCCTTCAGTCCCCACATTTATATCACTACAGAGAGTCACTGAAAAACCATCACATCTAGAATTCCTCTAACTTAAATGCTCCCAAAAGCACCAGATTCCCTCTGATCTTGGAAACCAAGCCAAGTCAGCCTTGGTTAATACTCGGATGGGAGACAGCCAAGGAATACTAGGTGCTGTAGGCTATATTTCAGAAGAAGGGATGGGCAAAACCTTCTGTGGGTATTCCTCGCCTAAGAAAACCGTATGAAATTGATGGGGTCACCATAAGTCAACAGGACACACGAACACACAAATACATACATATACTAGAACACTTCTGTCTGCTATGTTGGCTTTTCCTCTTGCCTCTCCCATTTCTATGGAGTGCCTAAAACTGTATCTCTAAATGCCCCACTGAAGTTGTAAGTTACTGCAATACTAGACATTTGAAGGAACAAATAAGGGGTCAGGATTTCTACTCGTGGGGTCAGTGCTTTCCTTTGGACCCCCCCTTCCATAAATACACCCCTAGAAGTTAAGCCCAGACCCTCCTCAGCTTCAGCTTCCCACGAGAGAAAAGTATTGATTCACCTGGAGAAGATGCATGCCATGTAACCCTCTGGGATTTCTCCCCAAGTCAAGACCCCCTCTCCCCCCAGCAGGACTGTGTAGAAGCTGCAGCAACCCCCAAACCCAAGGGACCCCCCTTTCCCTCCTAGCCAGGGTGGTCAGATGTCCTCACCACCAAGGAGGAGAAGGCACTACAAAATGGAGGACATTCAAGAACAGTGGAGGGCATGACAAAATCAAAGCTCGAAACCCTCCCTAGAAACAGAAAGTCATGCTTCTTAGCCAAATGGAGGACCTTTTGGAGCTCCTTCTGGATACAAGGCTGAAATGGGGGACACGTCCTGGAAAAGGAGGAGAAAGATAAATCCATTCTGCTTAGTCCTGCTCCAGATAGAGAACATGTAACTATATAGAAACCCTTCTTAGCCCTGCTCCAAATGGAGAATCTTTTAAAGTTCCTCCTGGACAGAATGGAAGACAAGTCCTGGAAAAGGAGGACCTCTGGTCACCCTCCTCCCAGCCCAAAATGGAGGACAACCAAAGCTAAAAAACAAGAGTACTTAATATATGAAAGATAAAGTCCTGCTTCCTAGTCCTGCTCCAAGTGGAGGACATGTCAACATAATGGAAACCCCTGCTTCTTAGCCCTGCTCCAAATGGAGGGCCTTTGGGCAATCCTCCTGGACAGAAGGCTGGAATGGAGGACGGGTCCTGGAAAAGGAG